ATGATGATGAGACCAGGTGCCTCATCCTGCAGTGGAGTGATTGTGGCTGATGATGATGATGAGACCAGGTGCCTCATCCAGCAGTGGAGTGATTGTGGCTGATGATGATGATGAGACCAGGTGCCTCATCCAGCAGTAGAGTGATTTTGGCTGATGATGATGATGAGACCAGGTGCCTCATCCTGCAGTGGAGTGATTGTGGCTGATGATGATAATGAGACCAGGTGCCTGATCCAGCAGTGGAGTGATTGTGGCTGATGATGATGATGAGACCAGGTGCCTCATCCCGCAGTGGAGTGATTGTGGCTGATGATGATGATGAGACCAGGTGCCTCATCCCGCAGTGGAGTGATTGTGGCTGATGATGATGATGAGACGTTGAGGTTTTGGCTCCAGATTCTCGGACGTTCCCGTATCTCGCCACCAGAGGCCGCTATGATCTCGGGAAGGTGAATACACCACAAGCACTGCACGATGTAACACGCTTTTTGTTCCTGGGTAGTAAGTGTTATTTCTAATTGCTTATGCCTCAAAAGTATAGAAAATGGCTATTATTACCCACAAACTTTGCTTTTGTGACCAGGACTTTATGTGAAGGAATGACATAAATGCACACCACGTTTTCTCATTGAAAATAGGTACATTTCTAAATATCAATGTCCTGGTCTCAAAAGCAAAGTTTGTAGAAGATAATAGCCATGTTCTGTACTTTTGAGGCATAAGCAATTAGGAAATGACACTTACTACCCAGGACCAAAAAAGTAAACACGTTATTGTTACACAGTGATATCAGTGTCATCACAAGATTCACATCAGTGGTGCTTACAACCTCGACAGCAGCCTTGCACAATGTACAACGTTAATACATACTGCGGGTTTGATGAAACAAAGTTGTACTTGCGTGCCCGTGTTTAATTTGTGTTTTAGATTACAAACCTGTTTAGCACGCAGGAGGCTTTCACAACCAATATCATCCGTATAATATAAATGTGTCGTTAAACCCGCCACCACCCGACACAGCCAACTAGTAAGGGTTGTCACGTCAACAGAACGTGGCCAATTCGTCACTAGTACAGCACTAGCCGGTACTAGTTTAACGACACGTTTATATTTACGCGATTTAACCCAAAACACCTGCATCACGATTTATTTACCCTCTAAAACACCTGCGCTGCGTCTCGCTCCCCCAGGGAGGGCATCTCGCTCCCCAGGGTGCGCGTGCATGCCAAGTGAAGAACCGCCGTTCTACATCAGCTCCACTGCTGGATGAAGCCTGCGCCACCCCTCACGGTGTCGCGGCGCGGCCCCCGTGCACGGCAGACGTCACGGTGGCTCCGTCTCCTCGGGAAGGGCCCCGCCGCTCTCTGGACGCGTTCCTCGCCTTGAGCCGCCGCTCCGTTGCCGCCCTCGACCGCCGTCCGCTCGTGAGCCGGCGACGCGTCCTGCCCCGAGCCCCACGCACTCCTCCTCCTCAACACCTGGGGACGATGTCGCGAACCCGCGCGCTCAGTCCTCCACCCCCACGGAGCCCCCAGCGCGGATCTCTCCGTGCTTCTCCGCGCACCCTTCGGCTTCTCTCCCCGTCTCCTTCTCGTGAATTCTCTGCACGCAGTTTTCAGTTGCCACGATGTCTCTGTCTGTTGTCACGATGTCTCTGACTGTGGTCACGATGTCTCTGTCTGTCCCCACGATGTCTCTGTCTGTCGTCACAATGTCTCTGTCTGTCCCCACGGTGTCTCTGTCTGTCGTCACGATGTCTCTGTCTGTCCCCACGATGTCTCTGTCGTCACGATGTCTCTGTCTGTTGTCACGATGTCCCCCCTTCTCTCTCTCTCTTGGCGCTTTTGTTTTGTTGCTTTTCATTACCGCGTTCAGTTTCCCTACACAAGCCCAACTCTCTGTTTACTTTAAACGCCGGTCAATAACGGCCACGTGTGGATTCGTTCCTCGGATGCGTGTGGCGTTGGTTTGTATCAGTCGGCAGAGTCGCTGTTAGCAGCGCTACGATTCCCGCTCACGGCCAACATCAGTGGCGATTATCTGAACCGGTCCTGGCCCTCCCCTAGGTCGACACAGCCTCAAATGAGCACCGGGTGCGGTGTGTGAAAACATCGCCACTGGGGATACAAAGGCGGTCGGGCGTGATGTTGGCCACCAACCCCCTCGTGTGCCGTTCCGGCCTTAATACTGTAGGTGCTCGCTAACAGCACTTGCCCCAACAGTCTGCCAGGACTATACAGGGGATCTTGTTTTTCGTGTCTTATCAGTCCTGTGTTCGTCCGGGACTTGCCATCAGACGGTCAATTGAACACGGAGACTCTCACGAGCGGTATCATTAAAACAACAACAACATGTTGGGGTCGCGTCGCGTGAGTACGTTTCTGGCATCTGCCCGATGATCCTGGATGTAACTACCAGCGAAACGTCGGACTTCCCGACGGTTGAATGCTGCGTGTATTCGCTGCCGAGGCGCTAAGAAATTGTCACGATAGTTCGCGCTACAAACGTGACGGACTGGCGGTGTGGACGTGGGGAGGGTGTGACGCCTCGCGTGTCACTCACGCGAGCACAACCACACACCAGGTACGACAGCAGCAAATTGAAAGTGCGTTTAGACCTTGACAAGCTCCAAAGTGGGGTTTAGGTAAAGTGTGAGCAGGCGTCATCGTTCAATAAACAGCCTCGCGAAACTCGTAAAATGTAATTTAAACTTCATACAGGTTCATGTTTATGCACGATGATACAGGGGTTTGGGTGACACCGCATAAATAAACTAGTAACAAACTGGCACGTTCTGTTTAGGTGACAAACATTACTAGCTGGCTGAGTCGGGTGGTGGCGGGTTTAACGACACATTTATATTTACGCGATCTTACCCAAAACTCTCTTATGGATAGCACTCATTCGTATGGCATTGCTTTTATCACCCAGATCTCCTTTAAAAAATCCGTTAAGTCTATCCTGACTCTCCCAAGCAGTGGATAGACCATTGTCTGATTTAGAAGACGTTGATGATGATAGTGACAGACAACCAAATACTTTTAGCTCTCTGAGCTTGACATTTATCAGCCGAACAAAGTGCAGCACCGCATTAACCACAATTCGTTTGACGTTGTGTGTGGTCCAGTGGTGGCCGGGATGAGAAGATGAAGTGACGGCACACGAGAGGCCGATGCAATGACGAGCACCGACCTGGATCCGAGCCCCGCATCTCACGGGGCATTGACTGAAAGCTCTCACCTCGAACCACACGGCCGCCTCCAAAAAAATATTCAGAAAACCCATTGAAGTGCCCATTGTGTGTCACGTGGTGGCCGCGCTGCGTGTCACGTGGTGGCCGCGCTGCGTGTCACGTTGTGGCCGCGCTGCGTGTCACGTGGTGGCCGTGCTGCGTGTCACGTGGTGGCCGTGCTGCGTGTCACGTGGTGTGTGCTGTGTGTCACGTGGTGGCCGTGCTGTGTGTAACGTGGTGTGTGCTGTGTGTCACGTGGTGGCCGTGCTGTGTGTAACGTGGTGTGTGCTGCGTGTCACGTGGTGGCCGTGCTGCGTGTCACGTGGTGCGTGCTGTGTGTCACGTGGTGGCCGTGCTGTGTGTAACGCAGTCAGCTCAGAAACTCGCACGGTGCTCCACGGATGAGGTCATTGCACGTTTCAGTGGGTTTCGGGGGAGGGGGGGTCCAGCCGTGGCTCAGCTTAGACCCAGCTCCATTGATGGGTCGCGGGGGAGGAGGTGCCAGGCACGAACAGCCTGGAGACGAGTTGACTTTGCTGCGCCACGGTGTTTCGAGTGATCACGCGAGGTCGTAGCCACATCTCATCGCAGAGGGGGGCCCCCCTTGCCGACACACACTATCTGGCTGTTCACCGTCACTGGCTCAAGTAAGCCCGACCCTGCTGATGAGACACGGAGCGCCGAAACCGGTTCCAGAGGTTGTTTGCGTGTAAACAATGCCGCTGAGGAAAAAAAACCCAGAAGGGTGTGCGGCTGATGGGATGCGTCAAATGCGCGTGTACCTCGTGCGCGGAGACAGCAGATCGTCACTGGCACGTTTGGTCCCGAGGGTATGAAGGGTGGGGGTCAGGTGGCTGTGCTCAGGGCTGTTCTGTTGCTGGACGCGACGCCGTGCGCCAGTGTCGATGTGAGCGCCTGAACTTTGCCCTCCAGAGGTTCACCGCTTCCGTTGGACCTCCCGGTGCGGCAGTTGAGACAATGGGCCCCGTTTCGTATGGTGCCCCCCCCCCGCCACTCCTCACCACCATCCCCACCTGCCCCATCCTCCCCTCGCCTCTGTCTCCACTCAGTGGCGAATCAGCCGGTTGCTGCGTGTCACGGTGGCCCAGAGTGTGGCTAATGGAGGGAGGTTCGCGGAGGACGCTGCCGGGCAGTCGGAGGAAGCCGCCCCTCCGCTCCAGCCAGCGGCGGAGGGCGGAGAGGAGCGACGCTCACAACAACAACGAGCGGAGCTGCCGGGCGCATAAGACGCAGCCTTTTGGCCACAGCTCGGCAGCACAGACGACACATCATGGGCCAGTCATCTCAAGTCAGTCGACCCATGGCACGCCCGGGTCTGCCCCGTGACCATCTGCCGGCAGCGAGCCTTCGACACTTGGCCTCAAAGTGCACTTAGCCTGGCACGAGCGCCCTGGTGAGGTCCCACTGCCAGTTGGTGGCAAATGGCGGCTGTCGCTTCCGTTGTTGTGTGGGAGACTTGGCTCCAATAGCGTCCAGTTGAGGCTCTTCCACCAGCAGCGGCATGAGTAGGACATTCCAGGGCTGCGCCTATAGCTTCTGAACTCTAAAGCTTTGTGTGTTCGCTGCACCTCGGCTCCCACAACACCACGGCGCTTGTGCCAGGCTAGGTGCACTTGAGGCGACTGGCCCATGATGTGTCGCCTGTGCTGCCGAGCTGTGGATGCGCCTGATTTATAGCGTTGGTAACAGAGCGGAATAATTGTGATGATGCCCTGCACAATACAATAAGTTACCGAAATCAGGTCGATTCGTTTCAGCTGCCTGGTTTTATTATTCCAAAAGGTCAGACTTGTCACAACGACCCGATCATCACAGAAACGTCATGTAAACGGTCAATGCACACAGCCGGTGGCATTTTAACCATTGTGCCCAGTCAACAGCACGCGTGATTTACAGTATCACACAGAAGACTCACACACAACACACACACAACACACACTCAACACACACACAACACACACACAACACACACACAACTCACACACAACACACACACAACACACACACAACACACACACAACACACACACAACTCACACACAACTCACACACAACACACACACAACACACACACACAACACACACACAAAACACACACAACACACACACAACACACACACAACACACACTCGCATAACACTCTCACACGGCACACTCGCACAACAAGACAAAGATCCCCCCCGTAGAGCCTGTAACAGGCTGTAGGGGCAAGTGCTTTTGGCGAGCGCCTACGAAGGCCGGCACGGCACCCGAGGGGTTCGGTGGCCAGCCCCACGCCCGGCCGCCTTTGTCTCCCCAGTGGCGATGTTTACACACCGCACCAGGTACTCATTTGAGGATGAGTCGACCTAGGGGAGGCCCAGGACCGGTTTGAATAATTCTCACCGGTGGTGACCGTGAGCTGGAATCAAACCCGGGTGGCCGGGTTCGTCACGCAGCGCAGCGCTGACCGCTACGCCACTTTCGTTGGGCTATCACCTGTGGCCAGGTGGCTGCTGAAAAAGAGCTGTGTAGGGCAGGGGGCCTTACCTGGGCACATACATTGTGTTCACCTAGTGTTAGATTTACGTCGCGTAAACGCACGCGCTCACGCGCTCACGCTCACACAAACACACCTAATTTAAACAACACATACACAACACACACACCCGTCTCACTTACACACGCTCACACAACACATTAACACACGCACCACCATCACACACACACGCGCTCACGCACACACAACACATTAACACACACACCACGCTCACACACACACACGCTCACACACACACGCGCTCACACAACACATTTACACACACCCGCGCTCACACACACACACACGCACTCACACAACACATTAACACACACACCACACACACACACACCACGTTCACACACACACGCGCTCACACAACACATTAACACACACACCACACACACACCACGCTCACACACACACACGCGCTCACACACATTATCACACACACACCACGCTCACACACACACGCGCTCACACACACCACACCCACACACACACGCTCACACACACACACATTATCACACACATTATCACACACATTATCACACACACATACACGCGCTCACACAACACATTATCACACACAACACGCTCACACCCACACATACGCGCTCGCCCCCACACACACGCACACACACACACACACCACGGTCACACCCACACACACGCGCTCACACAACACATTAACACACACACCACGCTCGCACATTCATCGTGTCCATTGAGCCGCGCGCAAGGGGCCGCTCGGGGCAATCGGGTTCGGGGAGTTCTCGTGACGCCACCGCCACCACCGCCACCGGGGAAGGGACAATCACGCAGTGTCAGGAGGGCCTCGTGGGGGGGGGGGGGGGTCACAGGTCAGCAGTGGAGCGCTATCATCAACGGGGCGCGCTCCGCGCAAACACGTCGCTCTCTCGCTCCCTGGGCCACTCACGCAAACAGATACGGGGAGGGCGAGCGGGGGCGCCGGTGTTTGAGATGTCCCCACGGGAGGTTTTGTCTCCCCGTCAACAAGGACATCGGCCGTGTGTTTTCGTTTCACGCTGCACCCAGGCTGGGGTGAACTGCTTGACCCCCCCACCCCCCCACCCCCCCGTGAGTCACCGGGCTGGGCCGCCGCAGAGAGCACCCTGGAGGAGGGAGTCGACCCGAGAATTTCACAACTTGGGGGGGGGGGGGCAGCGAACGGGGAGGGAGGGGGCGGTGACAACTACGGCAACGGAAGACTCCGCGAAAGTCGAGCCCCCCCCCCCCCTGCCCCCCCCCCCCCGGGGTCATGAATTGATGGCCCCGAGCGCAGAGGAGGCATTGGGGAGTCCGTGCCACTCGCGCCCTCTCCTATCGCAATCTGACCCGCGGCCAAATCTAATCCAAAACTATTTTGTGCAGATAAGGCGCGCTCAGAGGTCCTTACGAACAACAACGTTTGATGACTGTCCTGGAGAGGACCGCGATGACCCACGTACAGAGCCCAACACGACGGCTCCGCCGGCCGCTGTCACTGCTGCGGTCAAGAGCAGTTGGATTAAGTGGACGACTTCAGCATTAATGATCACGTCAACTGTCCCACGACAATAATACAACACGGGAAGTGGTTTGTGCGGCGTCTGAATGAGGTTAGCCGCGGGTCGCGCCACGTGCCGCTCACGAGACACCGGCACGCTGACGACGTCACACAGCCTCGCCCGGCAGATCCACAACAACCGCCACGGTGCTGCTGGCTGGGAGCAGCAGGCCCCCTGGTGTGGCGGTAAGCCTCCTGGTGTGGAGGTAAGCCTCCTGGTGTGGAGGTAAGCCTCCTGGTGTGGAGGGGGGGGGGGGGGCCTGGTGTGGAGGGGGGGGGGTGTGGAGGGGGGAGGGCCCTTGATGTGGAGGATGCCCATTGGTGTGGCAGTGGGCCCTCTAGTGTGGCGATAGGCTCCTTGGTGTGGTGGGGGCGCCCTGGTGTTGTGGGGGCTCCTGGTGTAGTGGGGGCGCCCTGTTGTGGTGGGGGCCCCCTGGTGTGCTGATAGGCCCTCTAGTGTGGTGGTACAACTCTGGTCTCGCGGGAGGCCTCTTGATGTGGAGGAGGCCCCTTGGTGTGCCAATAGGCCCCTGGTGTGGCGGGAGACCCCCCGATGCACGGGCGGCCTCGTCCACAGGTCCCTGAGCTGCCTCCAGGAGGCCCGAGACTCGGAATGAGCGACGCAGCGACGCAGCGACGCAGCGACGCTCTCCGCCGCGGGACTGGAGTTTGCGGAAGCGCTGGAAGCTGCGGGTGGCCTGCGGTTACCTCCTCCTCCTCACGAACGCCACCGGGATCTTCCTGTCCGGAACCATGGTGCCCGAGTGCAGCGCGGTGATGGGGCCATCATCCGTGGCCACAATGTTGTACGTCTGGACGATCTGCAGGAGGGAATAAAGTAACCGAGCTTACGATTCGTATCCTTCCCATAGCTGTCCTTCTATATAAAGAAAAAACATTCCATCAGCGACACGGCCGTTTGGAAGCGCATCATTTCAAAAGAAATTGGCTCAACGCGGACAACTCTGGACTGGTTTCGAGACTCGAAAGCCTCATCAGCAGCGGCATCCAGCCAGGCGGCTCAGCGGTGGGCGAGCGGCTCCAAGTCGCTGGAAGCCCAACGCTGAACCGCCACGCGGCACACGACACGCTGACTGGACGTGGGGACGTTGGGACGTGGGGATGTGCTTTCACTTTCAATATGGGGGGGACGACGCGGGAAGGAGGGGAGGGCGGTGCGACCCGAGACCGGAAGCTCGCTGGGGAACGCGACGCGCTCACCGTGGCCAGGGCCAGGTGGATCTCCAGCTCGGCCAGGCGGCGGCCGATGCACATGCGAGGCCCGAAGCCGAATGGGATGTGCGAGAAGGGCTTCACCGTCCCCGGCGGGTCCTCCAGCCAGCGCTCCGGGCGGAAACTCATGGCGTTCGGGAAGTAGTCCTCGCTCCAGGCGAGCGCGTGGTTGCTCACCATCACCACCGTCTGCGGAGTGAGACGTGTCGTTCATTAGCATCTCTGTAGCTCCCAGTGACCCTCCCCCCCACCCCTCCGTGTCTCCAAAAAAAGAAGGATGCATCCCAGTGTCTATCTACGTCTCCTGGTACGGCATCTCCCTCTGCGTTTCAATGCTCTCCCAGTGTCTCTCCGCGCCCATGGACGCGCCGTGGTTCGGCATCGTCGAGGCGCGGGTCGCCGCGCGCCGGACTGGGCGACGGGGCCGTGGGAACGCGGCCACGGACCCTGGTGTCCCCCACCACGCGCTCCCTCCCCGCCACCGCCCTCACCACGCAGGGCCACCGTGGGGGGGGGGGGTGAACGAGGTTCGGAGCCGAGAGGAGGAGGAGGCCGTCGGCGGAGAGGTTTTAATCGTCGCGCACGCTCGGCCTCGGCGGCGATGAGGTCACGCCGCGTGACGCTGCACGACTTGGCCGCAAAACCTCATTCAGCGATTACGGCGGGCGCAGCAGCAGCAACCTCGCTTCAAACGCCGCTGCTCAATAATAATGATGAGAAGTCCCCAGCCCGTGCACCCGTTGCCCTCGCCCCCCCCCCACCCCCCCCCTACGCCACCGCGCTGGCATCACCGCGGCGGCGGTGTCGCTTGCAGGAATTGGCAGCGGCACGATGAAGAAAAACAAAGTTGCTGATGAGAGCCTCGCGTGGGACATGATGACTGCGGGGAAAACGCGGCGGTGGGGGCGACTATTGGCTCGCGAGAGAGGAGGGGGTCGCCAGCGATGGGGGCCGGGTCATCGGGTTCAAACCTCGGGAGTTGCCGTTACGTAAACTGACTGTGATTGCAGAGCTACGCTGACTGTGACTGCAGGGATACGCTGGCTGTGATTGCAGAGCTACGCTGACTGTGGCTGCAGGGATACGCTGACTGTGATTGCAGAGCTACGCTGACTGTGACTGCAGGGATACGCTGGCTGTGATTGCAAGGCTACTTTGATTGTGACTGCAGGGATACGCTGGCTGTGATTGCAAGGCTACTTTGATTGTGACTGCAGGGATACGCTGACTGTGATTGCAAGGCTACTTTGATTGTGACTGCAGGGATACGCTGGCTGTGATTGCAAGGCTACTTTGATTGTGACTGCAGGGATAGGCTGACTGTGATTGCAAGGCTACATTGATTGTGACTGCAGGGATACGCTGACTGTGATTGCAAGGCTACTTTGATTGTGACTGCAGGGATACGCTGGCTGTGATTGCAAGGCTACTTTGATTGTGACTGCAGGGATACGCTGGCTGTGATTGCAAGGCTACATTGATTGTGACTGCAGGGATACGCTGGCTGTGATTGCAAGGCTACATTGATTGTGACTGCAGGGATACGCTGGCTGTGATTGCAAGGCTACTTTGATTGTGACTGCAGGGATAGGCTGGCTGTGATTGCAAGGCTACTTTGATTGTGACTGCAGGGATAGGCTGACTGTGATTGCAAGGCCACATTGATTGTGATTGCAGGGATATGCTGACTGTGATTGCAAGGTTAAGTCTCAAGGCTTAATCTCAGCTGGCTGCTGCCTTCAATGCTGTGCGCGAAGACATTTGGAATTCCTGGAAGGTAACGCCGGCATCACAAACAGCTGTCGCACAGGAACTACTCATCGCTACCCAGCCTTCTTCACAGACCCGTGCCTCCACATACAACGTGGATACACCGGCATTGTTTTTACACATCCCGTCAGCGACACGGCGGCGTTGTGGGCGTGCATCACTTCGACGGCATTAGAACAATGCAAGCAAAACTGTGGAGCAGCTTCAAGACTCATTGTCTCATCAGGCAAGGGCCCTCTCTGATGCGACGCGCTGTAGTCAGGTGAATGCCCCCCTACGACTGCCCGCGTTCGGAATCGGCGGCGTTTGCGGTGAAATCGGCGGTGTCGGTTTCCAGCAGCAGCGGAGTCTCACGTCTTTGGGGAGGAGGTATTCCCCGATCGGCGTCTCCCGGCTCAGGGTGCGGCTCGTGAAGGGGATCGTGGGGCTCAGCCTAGGGGACACGGGCAGAGACACGTGCCGAGTTGAGCGCACACGCACACACGCACACACACACGCACACACACACGCACACACGCACACACGCACACACACACGCACACACACACGCACACACGCACACACACACGCACACACGCACACACACACGCACACACGCACACACACACAGATGCCCCCACGAAGCCCACAGAGGCTGCTGGGGCAAGTGCTAGGAGCGAGCGTCTGTGAAGGCAGGCGAGGTGGATGAGCGGGCGGTGTGGACAGAGGCTGCCTGGACGCCTTTGACTGCCCACTGTCGATGCTTCACGCACGGGACCAGGAACTTGAAGCCCAGGACCGCTCTGGATAGTCGCCACTGCAGTTGGCCGTGAGCGGTTATCGAAATCGAACTCGGGTCGCTGGGTTCATAGCGCAGCATGCCAGGCATGCGACCACTCCTCAGGACACACAAATACACACAAAGATAAATATCCCCCGTATAGCCTTAACGGACTGTCGGGGCAAGTCCTGTCTGCGAGCACCTTCGACGGCCAACGCGGCACACGAGGGGGTGGCCAACACCACGCACGACCGCCTTTGTATCCCTAGTGGAGATGTTTACACACCGCACCAGATACTCATTTGAGGCTGAGTCGACCTAGAGGAAGAGGCCCAGGACTAGTTCAGATAATCGTCACCGGTGTTGGCCGTGAGCGGGAATCGAACTCGGGCCGCCGGGTTTGTAGCGCAACGCGCTGACCGCTACACCGTGTCTTGAACTTCTTTCACACCGTACGTAGCCAAAGCCGTCTTAATCGGTTGGCCCAGTGCCATGTATACAAACAGCACCATGCACTCATTTAAGGCCGAATTGACCTTGTGGAAGACCTAAAACTGGCTCAGATATCCGGTGTCACTGACGTCCATCCGTGACGAGAATTGAATTCGGGTCACTGGGTTCACTCGTGCAGAGCGCTCGTCACAATTAGCACGAGAAACGAACCCTCCCCTCGTCAACAACACCGCGGCCTGAGCAGCAACGTTGTCGACAATCGGCGACGTTTTGGTCATTGTCCTTCTTCATAGCACACGGACGCACAATCACAAATATTGACTTGTGTACACACACACGGCCATATACGACACGCGCACACATACACGGCAACACGGCTACCGACAACGTGGTCACACACTAGCACACGTGGTCACACACTAGCACACGTGGTCACACACTAGCACACGTGGTCACACACGAGCACACACGGGCAGGAGCGGCGGCACGCCGGGGAGAGTAACCCTCGTCCCTTGAGCTCCAACGACGCAGGGACGTGGTCGATGCCTGAACGTGCGGCATCGCGTGCAGTGGCGGCTGCCCACGGGGTAAACGCAAGCGCTGCTTGTCCCCCCCACCCCCGCCTGCAGCCCTGCTGCTGGAAGCGTGCTTACCCGTGTCTATGATTGATCACAGGATGTGATTGATCACAGGATGTGATTGATGGTTGATTGAATGGTTGCGATTTTCTGTTGAGCCATTCCTGCACCATGCCCCCCCTCTACCCCCCGCCCCCCTCCATGGACTCTCCCCCGCTCAGAAGCATTCACGGCGACGGCTCGAGGTGTCGACGATTCAGCGTCTCGTCAGCGGAGTCGAGTTATCACACCTGTCACAACCCCTCCTCGTCAGTGCCCCACCTTGTTACACACCGACTAAGACCTGATTGGTCTCACCCCGCGCCCCTTATGAATCTCAACGTTCATCCTACAAAGTCCCATCACGAGGGAGAAACACAAACACAGGGACACAATTATAATTGTGTTTGCCCGCATTGAGACGGTTGTACGCCGTGTGGACCTGAAAACTCAATTTCCCTGCACGAGGACACGGGGGGCGAACTGGATGGGGTCGACAGCTGCGAGTTATGCTCGAACAGAATGAGGGTGAACTGCCGGCTTCGCAGCGCGATGCGTTGACCACGACACTACCGCTCCTTATCACACACCACACCACACACACCACACACACACACACCAACCACACACACCACGCACACACCACACACACACCACACACAGCACACACACACAGCACACACACACACGACACATACCCACCACACGCACCAACCACACACATCACGCACACACCACACACACCACACACACACCAACCACACACACCAACCACCCACACACACACCAACTACATACACCAACCAACCACCCACACACACCAACCACCCACACACACACCACACACACACCAACCACACACACACCAACCACACACACCACGTACACACCACACAAACACCACACACACAGCACACACACACCAACCACACATACACACGACACACACACACCACACGCACCAACCACATACACCACGCACACACCACACACACCAACCACACACACCAACCACCCACACACACACCAACTACACACACCAACCACCCACACACACCAACCACCCACACACACACACCACACACACACAAACCACACCACACACACACACACGACACACACACACACGACACACACACACCACACACACAGCACATCCTCTCGGCCACGGCCCCCCCGTCACGGCGAGTTCCCCGATGAATGGCGGAGCTTGTGTTGACGGCTCGTGACGAGCCCATATCCAGCACACAGTGCCAGCGAGAGGGCGCACACATTATCCTGTGGGGGGAGCGGTGAGGGGGGGGTCACCCGGGTTCATTTGTGGAGGCGAAACGAGTTCACGCATGAGCAGACGCGATGGTTAGTGATGTGTGTCCGTGATGGTGCGGCAGAGGCGATGTTCGTGATTGTGACGGTGGTGTGATGACGGTGTGATGTGTCACGTGAGGTGACGGTGATGCGCGAGTGATGTATGATGTGTAATTGTATGACAGGAATGGTATGATGCTGATAGTGACCCAAGCGCTCCTTCCCCATCGTTAACACCGTCCCTCCTCATCACGTCTCTACCCATCATCATGACCACTCATTGTCACTTTCGTCATCATCGTTTTGTCACACGTAATCATATGCATCATCTACTACCATCATCCTCAGCAACTCACTCTGCATCATTGCTAATTCCCTGTTCAGTGCTTTGGTTAATGCGCTATGAAAATAATTAAGATAAGATGGTGATAATGATCATGGTGGCATGATCGTATGACGCTATGATACGAGGACGATGGTAATAGTATGATGATGATGATGGTGGTGTGATGACAACAACGGTGATGGCGTGATTATAGTACGGTATGATGGTATGCTGTTGTGATAGAATCATGATAACAACGGAAATGGTATGTTAATGATAAATTGGTCATGATGATAATGATATGATGATGCTGATGATGACAAATGGCATGGCGACAATGCTGATACTGGAATGGTGATGACAATGGTATGTTAATGATGAATTGGTCATGATGATAATGGTATGATGATGATGATGACAAATGGCATGGCGACAATGCTGATACTGGAATGGTGTTGACAATGGCATGATAATGATGAATTGATGATCATGATGACAATGGTATGTTAATGATGAATTGATGGTCATGATGACAATGGTATGTTAATGATGAATTGATGATCATGATGACAATGGTATGTTAATGATGAATTGATGATCATGATGACAATGGTATGTTAATGATGAATTGATGATCATGATGACAATGGTATGATGATGAATTGATGATCATGATAACAATGGTATGATGGTGGTGGTGGTGGCGGTGGCTGTGAACCCGCACCTCATGGATTCCTTGAGGCAGGCGCGCAGGTAGCGCAGGGAGGGCATCTCGGCGGCGCTGGGCGCTCGCCCCGGCGGGAGCAGCGCCTCCATCTCGCCCCGCAGCCGCTGCTGGGCTCGCGGGCTGCGGGACAGGTGGAAGATGGCCCACATGAGGGTCACGGCGGTCTGCGGAGACACGGGGGTCGGGGGGGGAGAGACACGGGGGTCGGGGGGGGGGAGACACGGGGGTCGGGGGGGGGAGAGACACGCGGGAAAGTCTCCGCTCGATTATTATGACAATATAAACAATGTCCCCTCCGACAGGGTGTCCCCCCCCCCCTCGACTCGCTCTCCACGCGGTTGCTGGACACAGCCCCCCCCCCTCCCCGGTGGCACTCGACAAACGTCGAGCGGCCGAGGGTGGCGGTGCCATTGGAGGGTGGCGGTGCCGCGTCCCGGGAGATCGGAGGCCACGGCGGTGGCAGGAGGGGACTACAAAAGGGGGGGGGGGGAGGGTGCGGGTAAGAAGCGGACAGAGAGGTGAAACCCGGGACTCTGTGATGGCTGCTTAGGCAGGTAACAGGAACCTCCTTCAAACCCAGACGTCGCCACAGACACACTCACACACGTGAGAGAGAGAGAGACTCCCTCCTGCCCAGAGCTCACGCACGCTGCTGGGGCCAGTGCTGTTCGCTCGCCGCATCTACCGAGGCCGGCACGGCACACGACGGGGGCTGTTGGCCAGTATCACGCCCGGCCGCCTTTGTCTCCCCAGCGCCGATGTTTACACACAGCGCCAGGTACTCATTTAAGGCTAAGTCGACCTAGGACAGGCCCAGTACTGGTTCAGATGATCGTCACTGGTATTGGCCGTGAGCGAACTCGGCCATGGAATTGCACTCGGGGTTCGTGGTGCGATGCACCAACGACTGCTCCACACCACAGATCCATGTGTCACTTTACCAGCTCAGGCGCACTGGGCGATGTCGCGCTGTTTAAGAAGCGGCCTGGCTACCACAAATGATCGGCCGACGAAGCGGCTTTTCACGTGGAAATTAATATCGCCCAAATACTAAACGCAACTTTCTGGATGTGTGGGGGGGCGGGGGGGGGACCGGAGGACCCGGAAACAACACCAGGCGGCCACGGAGAGAGAGAGAGACGCAGCCTCCGCGTGCACAGCAGCAGGCGTCAGGGTCGGGATCGAACCCAGGCCCTCCTGTATCACAGGCGAGGTAGTCAGCATCTCCGAGCCACCGTGGCACCCTCACACAGCCGCAGGAGGGGGTGGTGGGTGGGGGTGAGGGGAGGGGTTGGTTGAGAGGGCGGGGGGTGGGGGTGGGGGCTCTCACCGTCTCCACCCCCCCGATCTGCATCTCGGCGACGCCGGCGTAGAGCTCCTTGGGTGAGAGGACCCCTCCCTGTGCCACCTGCGAGACGAGGTCCTGGCCCGGGCACTGCGCGTTGCCCAGCCGCGTCAGCGCGCACTGCTTGGCTGCTCGAGCACACACACACACAGATACATACAAACACACACCCATAAGATAAAGATCCCCCATATAGCCTTAACAGACTGTAGGGGCAAGTGCTGTGAGCGAGCACCTATGAAGGCCGGAACAACACACGAGGGGGTGGGTGGCCAACACCACGCCCGGCCGCCTTTGTCTCCCTAGTGGCAATGTTTTCACACCGCGCCAGCCACTTATTTGAGGCTGAGTCGACCTAGGGGAGGCCCAGGACGCGGCTAATTATATCGAGGCTGAGGGCATCGGCGGCTTGTGGCCGGGAATCGAACTCGGGGCGGTCGCCGGAAGCCGGTCGAGCGAGCGAGCGAGCGGCTCGCCGGCGTGGGCGAGAGCGCGACGCACCGATGCGGAAGATGTTGTCCCACGCCTCGGTGTGGACGCGCCACGTGCGCGTGTTGAGGCTGCGGTGCAGCCCCACGGGAGTGACGAGCATCGTGCCGAACGTGGCCATCATCTGCAACAGGCGCGCACGTCCATCATTGCAGCAACACCACACACAGCATTGTAGCAACACCACACACAGCATTGTAGCAACACCACACACAGCATTGTAGCAACACCACACACAGCATTGTAGCAACACCACACACAGCATTGTAGCAACACCACACACAGCATTGTAGCAACACCACACACAGCATTGTAGCAACACCACACACAGCATTGTAGCAACACCACACACAGCATTGTAGCAACACCACACACAGCATTGTAGCAACACCACACACAGCATTGTAGCAACACCACACACAGCATTGTAGCAACCACACACAGCATTGTAGCAACACCACACAGCAATGTAGCAACACCACACACAGCATTGTAGCAACACCACACACAACATTGTAGCAACACCACACACAGCATTGTAGCAACACCACACACAGCATTGTAGCAACACCACACACAGCATTGTAGCAACACCACACACAGCATTGTAGCAACACCACACACAGCGTTGTAGCAACACCACACACAGCATTGTAGCAACACCACACACAGCATTGTAGCAACACCACACACAGCATTGTAGCAACACCACACACAGCAATGTAGCAACACCACACACAGCATTGTAGCAACACCACACACAGTATTGCAGCAACACCACACACAGCATTGTAGCAACACCACACACAGTATTGCAGCAACACCACACACAGCATTGTAGCAACACCACACACATCATTGTAGCAACACCACACACAGCATTGTAGCAACACCACACACAGCATTGCAGCAACACCACACACAGCATTGTAGCAACACCACACACATCATTGTAGCAACACCACACACAGCATTGTAGCAACACCACACACAGCAATGTAGCAACACCACACACAGCATTGCAGCAACACCACACACAGCATTGTAGCAACACCACACACAGCAATGTAGCAACACCACACACATCATTGTAGCAACACCACACACATCATTGTAGCAACACCACACACATCATTGTAGCAACACCACACACAGCAATGTAGCAACACCACACACAGCATTGCAGCAACACCACACACATCATTGTAGCAACACCACACACATCATTGTAGCAACACCACACACAGCATTGCAGCAACACCACACACAGCATTGTAGCAACACCACACACAGCATTGTAGCAACACCACACACAGCATTGTAGCAACATCACACACAGCATTGTAGCAACACCACACACAGCATTGTAGCAACACCACACACAGCATTGTAGCAACACCACACACAGCATTGTAGCAACACCACACACAGCATTGTAGCAACACCACACACAGCATTGCAGCAACACCACACACAGCATTGAAGCAACACCATACACAGCATTGTAGCAACACCACACACAGCATTGTAGCAACACCACACACAGCATTGTAGCAACACCACACACAGCAATGTAGCAACACCACACACAGCAATGTAGCAACACCACACACAGCATTGTAGCAACACCACACACAGCATTGTAGCAACACCACACACAGCATTGTAGCAACATCACACAGCAATGTAGCAACACCACAGCATTGTAGCAACACCACACATAGCATTGTAGCAACACCACACATAGCATTGTAGCAACACCACACACAGCATTGTAGCAACACCACACACATCATTGTAGCAACACCACACATAGCATTGTAGCAACACCACACACAGCATTGTAGCAACACCACACACAGCATTGTAGCAACACCACACACAGCAATGTAGCAACACCACACACAGCATTGTAGCAACATCACATCATTGTAGCAACACCACACACAGCATTGTAGCAACACCACACGCAGCATTGTAGCAACATCACAGCATTGTAGCAACACCACACACAGCATTGTAGCAACACCACACGCAGCATTGTAGCAACACCACACACAGCATTGTAGCAACACCACACACGGCATTGCAGCAAGATCACACACAGCATCAAAGCAAGATCACATGTGCGGGCCCGTCTCCCGCTGTGCGCAGCTCACCTGCTTGATGGAGGTGATGAAGATCTGCCCTTCCTCGCCCATGTCCTGGGACAGGAGGCCGAAACGTTTCCCGTAGAGGATGTAGGAGATGGCTGCGTGACACAGATCGGGGATCGCGCCATCAACGAGGGGGCCGCTCTTCTGTCGCTACGCGCCGCGTGGGGCCGCTCCCGTGAACTTCAATCCCCGATTCTTGCACCCGCGTTGGGGAGCTACTGGCGCCCGACGGTGCTGGACGCAGTTGCCAGCGAAACGTCACGGGACTCAAATTGTTTACTCTCCAACACACCGGTGGGCTGAAGTAGTAAATGAATTGGCCACGTGTTGTTTGCATGACAAACCTTCCTGTGGTTTAACGACGCGTTTACGTACGCGATCTTACCGCAAAAAAAGTTTTTATTCATTAAATTGGTCGCGAAAGTCTCCCACGTGTCAAACTGAGCTGCCACTGTGTTGAACTCCGACGCTGCAGGGCACAACAATGCACACACCAACTCATTCACTCACCCACTCACTCACCTACTCACCCACTCACTCACTCACCCACTCACTCACCCACTCATTCACTCACTCACTCACTCACCCACTCAACCCACTCACTCACTCACCTACTCACCCACCCACTCATTCACTCACCCACTCACCATTCACTCACTCATTCACTCACTCACTTACTCACTCACCTACTCACCCACCCACTCATTCACTCACTCACTCGCCCACCCACTCACCCACTCACCTACTTACCCATTCACTTATTCATTCACTCACTCACTCACCCACTCACTCACCCACTCACTCACCTACTCACTCACTCACCTACTCACCCACCCACTCATTTACTCATTCACTCGCATCTATCACAACTCTCACTATGTGCTGACTGTTGCTGGCCGTTTTACGTTGTGTGCCTTTGGGCCTGTGCTCGGCAATTTCGTGTACATTTAAAATAATAATTCAGCAGCAGCAGGAAGAATTGGACTCCCTGCCGGATCTCCCGAGGGGGCTCGCCCAGCCGAATATCTGAGCCAGTCTTGGGCCTCCCCTAGGTCGACTCGGCCTCAAATGAGTACCTGATGCGGTGGCGTAAACATCGCCACGAGGGAGACAAGTTGCCACTCACCGGGCGTGGTGCTGACCACCTACCCCGTCGTGTGCCGTGCCGGGCATACATACGTACATAGGTGCTCGCTAGCAGCACTTGCCCCAAGAGTCTACTAAGGCTATACGGGGGATATTTGTCTTTATCTTGTCTTGTTTCAATGTGCACTCTAAGTCACTGGTGGGGGGGGGGGGGGGGCAGCAGGAACCAGAGGTGTGGACTCGAGTCATGTGACTTGGACTCGAGTCAGACTCGAGTCATGAATTTGATGACTTGAGACTCGACTTGGACTTGCATAACAATGACTTTGTCCCACCTCTGAGGTGTGGACTCGAGTCATGTGACTTGGACTCGAGTCAGACTCGAGTCATGAATTTGATGACTTGAGACTCGACTTGGACTTGCATAACAATGACTTTGTCCCACCTCTGGCAGGAACCAGGCAACGCGCGTGCGTCTTTGTGTGCGCGCTGGGGGAGGAGGGGGGAGCGAGGGGGGAGGGGAGGGGAGGGAGGGGGGTACACGGGCTGGTGGTGGAACTTGGGAATTGAAAGTGAACTGAGTGGGAGGGGAGGCGTGGGTGGGGGGTTGTGTTCGGGACCCCTGGCAAAGCGGTGGTGGGTGGCGCAGTGGTGGGTGGCGCAGTGGTGGGTGGCGCAGTCCGAGCGGGGTTCCTACTTTCGAACGACCACTTGTGCAGCTCCAGGCACAGGTCCCGGATGCCGCCCTGAGCGTCGCGAGTCGCGTCCAAGTGAACCACGAAATCTGAGAGCACCTGGGGAGGGGGCAGGCGGGGGGGGGTAGAGGGAGAAAGTCCGGGGGCGGCGGGGGAGGAGGGGGGGGGGCAAAGTATGGAGGGGCGCGGAGAGGGGAGGGACGCATTGCCACGAGTTGGCTCAGAGCTCCGCGTTGCGTAACGCGCTCCGTGCGGCACCGCCACTCTCTAGGAAGGAGTGAGGTGGTGCTGGTGGTGGAGCTGGTGGTGGTGGTGGTGCTGGTGGTGGTGCTGGTGGTGGTGGTGGTGGTGCTGGTGGTGGTGGTGCTGGTGGTGGTGCTGGTGGTGGTGGTGGTGCTGGTGGTGCTGGTGGTGGTGCTGGTGGTGGTGGTGCTGGTGGTGGTGCTGGTGGTGGTGCTGGTGGTGGTATTGGTGGTGGTGGGGGTGGTGGTGGTGCTGGTGGTGGTGCTGGGGTTGGTGGTGCTGGGGTTGGTGGTGCTGGGGGTGGTGGTGGTGGTGGGGGTGGTGCTGGTGGTGGTGCTGGTGGTGGTGGTGGTGCTGGTGGTGGTGCTGGTGGTGGTGGTGGTGCTGGTGGTGGTGGTGGTGCTGGGGTTGGTGGTGCTGGGGGTGGTGGTGCTGGGGGTGGTGGTGCTGGGGGTGGTGGTGCTGGTGGTGGTGCTGGGGGTGGTGGTGCTGGTGGGGGTGGTGGTGGTGCTGGGGGTGGTGGTGCTGGGGGTGGTGGTGCTGGGGGTGGTGCTGGGGGTGGTGGTGCTGGGGGTGGTGGTGCTGGTGGTGCTGCTGGGGGTGGTGGTGGTGGAGGTGGTGGTGCTGGGGGTGGTGGTGCTGGGGGTGGTGGTGCTGGGGGTGGTGCTGGGGGTGGTGGTGCTGGGGGTGGTGGTGCTGGTGATGCTGCTGGGGGTGGTGGTGCTGGAGGTGGTGGTGCTGGGGGTGGTGGTGCTGGGGGTGGTGGTGGGGGTGGTGGTGCTGGGGGTGGTGGTGCTGGGGGTGGTGGTGGTGCTGGGGGTGGTGGTGCTGGGGGTGGTGGTGCTGGGGGTGGTGGTGTTGGGGGTGGTGGCGCTGGGGGTGGTGGTGGTGCTGGGGATGGTGATGCTGGGGGTGGTGGTGCTGGGGGTGGTGGCGCTGGGGGTGGTGGTGGTGCTGGGGATGGTGGTGGTGGGGGTGGTGGTGGGGGTGGTGGTGCTGGGGGTGGTGGTGCTGGGGGTGGTGGTGCTGGGGGTGGTGGCGCTGGGGGTGGTGGTGGTGCTGGGGATGGTGGTGGTGGGGGTGGTGGTGGGGGTGGTGGTGCTGGGGGTGGTGGTGGTGCTGGGGGTGGTGGTGCTGGGGGTGGTGGTGTTGGGGGTGGTGGCGCTGGGGGTGGTGGTGGTGCTGGGGATGGTGATGCTGGGGGTGGTGGTGCTGGGGGTGGTGGCGCTGGGGGTGGTGGTGGTGCTGGGGATGGTGGTGGTGGGGGTGGTGGTGGGGGTGGTGGTGCTGGGGGTGGTGGTGCTGGGGGTGGTGGTGCTGGGGGTGGTGGCGCTGGGGGTGGTGGTGGTGCTGGGGATGGTGGTGGTGGGGGTGGTGGTGGGGGTGGTGGTGCTGGGGGTGGTGGTGCTGGGGGTGGTGGTGCTGGGGGTGGTGGTGCTGGGGGTGGTAGTGGTGCTGGGGGTGGTAGTGGTGCTGGGGGTGGTGGTGCTGGGGGTGGTGGTGGTGCTGGGGGTGGTGGTGCTGGGGGTGGTGGTGCTGGGGGTGGTGGCGCTGGGGGTGGTGGTGGTGCTGGGGGTGGTGGTGCTGGGGGTGGTGGCGCTGGGGGTGGTGGTGGTGCTGGGGATGGTGGTGGTGGGGGTGGTGGTGGGGGTGGTGGTGCTGGGGGTGGTGGTGCTGGGGGTGGTGGTGCTGGGGGTGGTGGTGCTGGGGGTGGTGGTGCTGGGGGTGCTGGTGGTGGTGGTGCTGGGGGTGGTGGTGCTGGGGGTGGTGGTGCTGGGGGTGGTGGTGCTGGGGGTGGTGGTGCTGGGGGTGGTGGTGGTGGTGTTGGTGGTGGTGGTGCTGGGGGTGGTGCTGCTGGGGGTGGTGGTGGTGGTGGTGCTGGGGGTGGTGGTGCTGGTGGTGGTGGTGGTGCTGGGGATGGTGCTGCTGGGACGCGCTGTGCGCTTGCTGGCGCTGCCAGGACGGGCGGGGGGGGGGGGGGGGAGGGACACGCGGGGGGTGGGGGCGGGGGGAAGGAGGAAACACGCGGGGTGCATGAGGATGGGAGTCCTCACCTCGTTAATCTTGCCATCGTATTTAGCCACCTCTTCTGGCAGCATGAGCTTCTTTTGGAACGCCCTCCTCATCTTCTGCCACGGCTTGTTGTCCCTGCGGGGTCATCATTGTCGTCGTCAGCAGAGTTGTGTCGTCAGTGGTGGAACTTTACTCCACACTACCACCACCACACGTGATCAACTCGCTGTGAGTGGAACCAATTCACACTGCGGGGGTGGCTAGAGGCATTGGCGAGGTGTCTGTGTGTGTGGCGAGGTGTGTGTGTGTGTGACGAGGTGTGTGTGTGACGAGGTGTGTGTGTGGCGAGGTGTCCGTGTGTGTGGCGAGGTGTGTGTGTGACGAGGTGTGTGTGTGTGTGTGACGAGGTGTGTGTGTGTGTAGCGAGGTGTGTGTGTGTGGCGAGGTGTGTGTGTGGTGAGGTGTGTGTGTGTAGCGAGGTGTGTGTGTGTGACGAGGTGTGTGTGTGACGAGGTGTGTGTGTGTGAGTTCGGGGTAAGGGGCCACAGCGGAAAGCAAAAATATCCTAATCAGGGGTGGGGGGGGTACCTGGGGGCAGTGAAGTTGTAAACAAAACGGTCAACACAAAACCACAAAGCCTCGGATCCACACGAAACAACACCAACAACAATGAAGGCGGTGTAAAGTTTAACGCGCTGCTCGGGTCTCATTTCCAGTTGGACACGCGGAATTGTGTGGCACAGGCTGCGCTAGTATAAGGGGGGGGGGCGTGACGAGACGCAGTGTTGCTCGAGGCCACGTGGGGTGTCGGCGGGGGGGCACGTGGACGCGGCGCGGCCGCCCTCTGCTCCGGCGGAGCCGCGCGGCTCTTCCGTGCGGCTCTCCGTGCGGCTCTCCGTGCGCGGTGCCGGAGTTGTTGCGCGCCCGCTGCCAACCTGCCGCCTCAATCCTCAGTGTGTGCTGCTGCAGCTACTGCTGCTGCTGCTGCAGCTACTGCTGCTGCTGCTGCAGCTACTGCTGCTGCTGCTGCTGCAGCTACTGCTGCTGCTGCTGCAGCTACTGCTGCTGCTGCTGCAGCTACTGCTGCTGCAGCTACTGCTGCTGCTGCTGCAGCTACTGCTGCTGCTGCAGCTACTGCTGCTGCTGCTGCAGCTACTGCTGCTGCTGCAGCTACTGCTGCTGCTGCCGCGTGTTTACACCGCCACTGGGGAGACAGAGGCGGCTCGTGCATGCCACTTGAGAGCACACTACCCGCTGTGTTCATAGGGGCTCGCTAACAACACTTGCCCCAACAGTCGATGCGGCTACACGGTGGGGGGTGCTGCTTTGTCTTTGTGCGTGCGGCTCTCGCTCGCGAGTCGTGCCGCTGTTGTTTAGCAATCATCGGGAGCGTACAGCGTGTGCCTCATGAGTGTCTGGTAACTTAGAGAAAGTGTTCGGGTGGTGAATGTTATTTAGCAACGTAATTGGTGTGATGAAGGTTTGATTTATTTATTAAAAACTACGTGTAATTGTGTAATACTTTGATGTTATAAAAATAACAGCGTTTAACCCTTTCTGCAAATAAAGCACGAGTTGTATTAAGATGTTCAGACACCAAATAATAGAAGCCTTTTGACAACAAATCAAGTGCTGCATTAAGCACGCACGGTACCTGCGGTGAACATGCGAATAAACATGCTCCGATAATAATTTGATGGCGTTGTCTTTGAAACTGAGTGTCTGGAGCTCACGGGGCTTTACGGGGAAATGCACTTCTGGCTGTGAACCTCCGATTCCGATGTTCCGACTCGCGTCGACGGAACGGGCAGGATTCGACCCCGACACCAGCGGGACCAGGGAGGGCGCAGCGCGCGAGCGGCCCCCCCTCTCACGTACAGGATGAGCAGTCCGTAGGCCTCGCCGCGCAGGTCGCGGTAGGCCTTCCACGGCTTGATGTCGAGGCGGTGCGGGCACGCGGCCTCGCGGCGGAACAGCGACTCGACGAGGTGCGGCGCGCCCACGTGGACGCTCTCGAACGAGCCGAGGCGCATGCGGTAGATGCTGCCCAGCCGCTGGTGGTACTCGGTCTGTTGGGGGTGGATGGGGGATGAGCGAGTGAAGCACGCGGCAGCTGTCAGCGTCGACGCTGCGGCACCGCCCCCCGCCACGCGGGCTCTTGTGGCTCCCTGGGAGGCTCGCGGAACGCGCCTCTGTGCACGCCACTCTCGTCCCCTGAGTGCCAAGCCGCTGTCTCTACCCGCGAGGCCGTCGGCGTCGAGCTCCCCCGTCGCACGCGGTGAGGCGCAAGCGGGCGCCACGTGGGATGTGACGTCACAAGTGGCCGCGCCGTGGAAGAGGCCTCTTATCCAGCAGTGGATTGATCATGGGCTCAAGCTGAATTCACTATTTACGCATCAATACCCATAACACTTCCGTGTTGACTCTGTGTATAGCTGTGGGCCGGATCGGCAGAATGAGTGGCAGACCGAGAAGAATTCGGGGGCGACTTACGAATGGGAGAGAAAACGCGCCCGGGGTCAGATGCCTGGCCGTGACCTTGACCCTTCGTGAGCGTTACGCGGGCCTCACGTCAAATGTAACCGGGAAGGGAGCGCTGATTTAGATTCGCAAAGTCATTCACGGAGCCAGTGGAGGTTGGGGGGTGGAGGGGATAGGTGGTGGGGGGGGGGGGATCGTGAGGTCTTTCCGAAGCGACGTGGAAGAAAAGCACGTCGCTTAGATCAACATTCCCTGAACACAACAACATCACGCGGCGGGCACAGCGGCGGGCACAGCGGGGGCCCGCGGGGAGGGGGAGGGGGGGGTGTGGTGCTGTTGGCAAAAAGGTGCGAAGCGAAGATGCTCACGGGTTCCATTCACGAGGCAAGATGCGATTCATCGAGAGAGAGAGAGAGGGTTGATGTGGGTGTGTGTCTGTGGCGTTTGATTCATAGAGAGAGAGAGTGGTTGATGTGCGTGTGTGTCTGTGGCGTTTGATTCATAGAGAGAGAGAGTGGTTGATGTGCGTGTGTGTCTGTGGCGTTTGATTCATAGAGAGAGAGAGTGGTTGATGTGCGTGTGTGTCTGTGGCGTTTGATTCATAGAGAGAGAGAGAGGGTTGATGTGCGTGTGTGTCTGTCATGTTTGATTCATAGAGAGAGAGAGGGTTGATGTGCGTGTGTGTCTGTCGCGTTTGATTCATAGAGAGAGCGAGAGGGTTGATGTGCGTGTGTGTCTGTGGCGTTTGATTCATAGAGAGAGAGAGAGGGTTGATGTGCGTGTGTGTCTGTGGCGTTTGATTCATAGAGAGAGAGAGTGGTTGATGTGCGTGTGTGTCTGTGGCGTTTGATTCATAGAGAGAGAGAAGGTTGATGTGCGTGTGTGTCTGTGGCGTTTGATTCATAGAGAGAGAGAGTGGTTGATGTGCGTGTGTGTCTGTCATGTTTGATTCATAGAGAGAGAGAAGGTTGATGTGCGTGTGTGTCTGTCGCGTTTGATTCATAGAGAGAGAGAAGGTTGATGTGCGTGTGTGTCTGTTGTGTTTGATTCATAGAGAGAGAGAGAGGGTTGATGTGCGTGTGTGTCTGTGGCGTTTGATTCATAGAGAGAGAGAAGGTTGATGTGCGTGTGTGTCTGTCATGTTTGATTCATAGAGAGAGAGAGAGGGTTGATGTGCGTGTGTGTCTGTGGCGTTTGATTCATAGAGAGAGAGAAGGTTGATGTGCGTGTGTGTCTGTCGCGTTTGATTCATAGAGAGAGAGAGGGTTGATGTGCGTGTGTGTCTGTTGTGTTTGATTCATAGAGAGAGAGAGAGGGTTGATGTGCGTGTGTGTCTGTCGCGTTTGATTCATAGAGAGAGAGAGGGTTGATGTGCGTGTGTGTCTGTTGTGTTTGATTCATAGAGAGAGAGAGAGGGTTGATGTGCGTGTGTGTCTGTCATGTTTGATTCATAGAGAGAGAGGGTTGATGTGCGTGTGTGTCTGTCGCGTTTGATTCATAGAGAGAGAGAGGTTTGATGTGCGTGTGTGTCTGTTGTGTTTGATTCATAGAGAGAGAGAGGGTTGATGTGCGTGTGTGTCTGTGGCGTTTGATTCATAGAGAGAGAGAGAGAAGGTTGATGTGCGTGTGTGTCTGTCGCGTTTGAGTCATAGAGAGAGAGAGGGTTGATGTGCTTGTGTGTCTGTCATGTTTGATTCACAGAGAGAGAGAGGGTTGATGTGCGTGTGTGTCTGTCGCGTTTGATTCATAGAGAGAGAGAGGGTTGATGTGGGTGTGTGTCTGTCATGTTTGATTCATAGAGAGAGAGAGGGTTGATGTGGGTGTGTGTCTGTCATGTTTGATTCACAGAGAGAGAGAGGGTTGATGTGCATGTGTGTCTGTCATGTTTGATTCATAGAGAGAGAGAGGGTTGATGTGCGTGTGTGTCTGTCGCGTTTGATTCATAGAGAGCGATGTGCTTGGGGAGGCGGTAGTGTAGTGGTTAGCACTACGCTGCGCTACGAACCCGGCGACCCGAGTTGGATTCCCTCTCACGACCAACACCGGTGACGATTATCTGATCCGGTCCTGGACCTCCCCTAGGTCAACTCAGCCTCAAATAAGTACCCGATACGATGTGTGTAGTAAACATCGCCACTAGGGAGACAAAGTGCGGCCGGGCGTGGTGTTGGCCACCCACCCTCTAATATGCCGTGCCGGCCTTTAAAGGTGCTCGCTAACACCACTTGTCCCAATAGTCTGTGATTCACACAGAGAGCGGTGTGAGTGTGTGTTGGTGTGAGTGTGTGTTGGTGTGTGTGAGAGTGTGTGTGATTCACACAGAAAGCGGTGTGAGTGTGTGTTGGTGTGAGTGTGTGTGATTCACACAGAGAGCGGTGTGTGTGTGTGTGCGTGATTCACACAGAAAGCGGTGTGTGTGTGTGTTGGTGTGTGTGTGCGTGATTCGCACAGAGAGCGGTGTGAGTGTGTGTTGGTGTGTGTGTGCGTGATTCACACAGAAAGCGGTGTGTGTGTCTGTTGGTGTGTGTGTGCGTGATTCACACAGAAAGCGGTGTGAGTGTGTGTTGGTGTGTGTGTGCGTGATTCACACAGAGAGCGGTGTGAGTGTGTGTTGGTGTGTGTGTGCGTGATTCACACAGAAAGCGGTGTGAGTGTGTGTTGGTGTGTGCGTGCGTGATTCACACAGAAAATCGGTGTGAGTGTGTGTTGGTGTGTGTGTGCGTGATTCACACAGAAAATCGGGTGAGTGTGTGTTGGTGTGTGTGTGCGTGATTCACACAGAAAGCGGTGTGAGTGTGTGTTGGTGTGTGTGTGCGTGATTCACACAGAAAGCGGTGTGAGTGTGTGTTGGTGTGAGTGTGTGTGATTCACACAGAGAGCGGTGTGTGTGTGCGCGTGATTCACACAGAAAGCGGTGTGAGTGTGTGTTGGTGTGTGAGTGTGTGTGATTCGCACAGAGAGCGGTGTGAGTGTGTGTTGGTGTGTGAGTGTGTGTGATTCGCACAGAGAGCGGTGTGAGTGTGTGTTGGTGTGTGTGTGCGTGATTCACACAGAAAGCGGTGTGAATGTGTGTTGGTGTGTGTGTGCGTGATTCACACAGAAAGCGGTGTGAGTGTGTGTTGGTGTGAGTGTGTGTTGGTGTGTGTGTGTGTGTTGGTGTGTGTGTGTGTTGGTGTGAGTGTGTGTTGGTGTGTGTGTTGGTGTGAGTGTGTGTTGGTGTGTGTGTGTGTGTTGGTGTGAGTGTGTGTTGGTGTGTGTGTCTGTTGGTGTGAGTGTGTGTTGGTGTGTGTGTGCGTGATTCGCACAGAGAGCGGTGTGAGTGTGTGTTGGTGTGTGTGTGTGTGTGTTGGTGTGAGTGTGTGTTGGTGTGAGTGTGTGTTGGTGTGTGTGTGTGTGTTGGTGTGTGAGTGTGTGTGATTCGCACAGAGAGCAGTGTGAGTGTGTGTTGGTGTGTGTGTGCGTAATTCACACAGAAAGCGGTGTGAGTGTGTGTGTGTTGGTGTGAGTGTGTGTTGGTGTGTGTGTTGGTGTGAGTGTGTGTTGGTGTGAGTGTGTGTTGGTGTGAGTGTGTGTTGGTGTGTGTGTGTGTGTTGGTGTGTGTGTGTGTGTGTTGGTGTGAGTGTGTGTTGGTGTGTGTGTTGGTGTGAGTGTGTGTTGGTGTGTGTGTGTGTGTTGGTGTGAGTGTGTGTTGGTGTGTGTGTCTGTTGGTGTGAGTGTGTGTTGGTGTGTGTGTGCGTGATTCGCACAGAGAGCGGTGTGAGTGTGTGTTGGTGTGTGTGTGTGTGTGTTGGTGTGTGTTGGTGTGAGTGTGTGTTGGTGTGTGTGTGTGTGTTGGTGTGTGAGTGTGTGTGATTCGCACAGAGAGCAGTGTGAGTGTGTGTTGGTGTGTGTGTGCGTAATTCACACAGAAAGCGGTGTGAGTGTGTGTGTGTTGGTGTGAGTGTGTGTTGGTGTGTGTGTTGGTGTGAGTGTGTGTTGGTGTGAGTGTGTGTTGGTGTGTGTGTGTTGGTGTGAGTGCCAATGGCCCCGTGGCGCCTCTCACCAGCACTTGGTACTGCTTGGAGATGCCGCCTTTCCGCAGCACCTCGAAGAGGCTGCCCACGACGGGCAGGCTGGGCGGGCTGGGCATCTCGCTCATCGACCGGAGCCCGCTCGCTGCCCCCCCCGCGGCGGTGGCGCGGGGCCACGTCTCCCGGGCCAGGCTCGCCGGCGCTTCCACGGCGACAGGAGCCACCGCCTGCGCCGCCCGGCTGCTGCTGCCGCCGCCCTGGGGCGCGAAGGGGCAGCCCCGGGGCAGCTGGGCGGCCGCTCTCTGCAAGACGACGCGATTCATCGTCTGACGCGTTCGCGCAGTCGGTCCGCTAAAGCGCGCCGGGATCGCAAGTGTCGCACACTCGGTGGCCGATGCGGTAACGCGAGACCGCAAGCGGAGCCCTGCGGCAAGGGTCGCTGTCGCTCAGGAGGCGAGTTTAACGAGACGAATGAATGAGCCGAGCGCGGTCGCGAACCGAGACTGACACCCGCATGAAACCCTCCGGTAACAGACCCCCGACCACTCCACTCAGTTGAACCGCTCGCGTACCCAGCCACTCACTGCGCTAATTGCGGCGCTTGCGGGCACGGAGCCCGTATATATACCGCGTGTGTGCGTGTGGGAGCGTGAGTGCGCGTGTGTGTGGGAGCGTGAGTGCGCGCATGTATGTGTTTGTGTGGGTGCGCGTGTGTGTGTGTGAGCGTGAGTGTGCGCGTGTGTGTGTGGGTGTGCGCGTGTGTGTGTGTGTGCGTGAATGCGCCTGTGTGTGTGTGCGTGAATGCGCGTGTGTGTGTGTGGGTGGGTACGTGAGCGCGCGTGTGTGTGTGTGTGCGTGAATGCGCGTGTGTGTGTGTGGGTGGGTACGTGAGCGCGCGTGTATGTGTGTGCGCCGTGGCGTAAACACACCGGTCAGGACGCGCCAGCCAATCGCGGCTCTCAGTGACAACTCCCTGGGACTTCTCGGAAGCACAGACAACAACATCATCAAAACAGATACTCGGGAGCGCGTTCACCCTTTTTATTGTTTGCGAGGTTCAGGGCTGAGAGTTCACGCGCACTCCGAGCGCTCACTCCGACCTCACACCGCCACGGGAGGTCACGGGCGCCAGTTCCTCACAAGCGGCGTTAGAGATTTGCATCGCATGGGGGCGGGGTGGCATAATTGAGATTAAAACCTCGGCTAGGGTTACAAGCCCTAAAACCTCGCAGCCTCTTGTCACAAGCGCCAAACCGGTTTAAGTTTTACCCGGTGTTAATCAGGGGTCGGGATGTCCCCAAACGCTTCGCCGATGCAGCGTGTGTTTAATTAAACTCTCACCTAAGCCGTGTCGCCTCGACAGACTGTTGGGGCAAGTGATGTTAGCGAGGAGCACCTGTGAAGGCCGGCACTGTGGCACACGAGGTGGGTGGGTGGACAGCACCACGCTCGACCGCCTTTGTCTCCCTCGTGACCATGTTTACGCACCGCACCAGGTACTGATGTTGAGGCTGAGTCGACATCGGCGAGGCCCAGGACGGTTCAGATAATCGTCGTTGGTGTTGGCCGTGAGCGAGAATGGAATTCGGGTCGCCGGGTTCGTGGTGCAGATTAGCGCTAACCGCTACACTGCTCCTCGCACGCACGCACACGCAGATAGATGCACACACCCCGTCACACACAGACACACATATATACAAACACACAACACGAACGAACGTACACATGTGCCAGGCTAGGTGCACCTTGAGGCCACATGAAGTGTCGAACGCCCGCCGGAAGGAGGAGGTCACGGGGCAGACCCAGGTGTCGACTGACTGAGATGACTGGCCGATGCACCACACACATACACATTCAACCACATACATGTAAAACCACACGAACACACACACATACATACAAAGACAAAGGTCCCCGGAATGCTTTAACAGACTGTTCGGGCACCTCTGAAGGTCGGCACGGCACACAAGGTGGTGAGTGGCAACTTTGTCTTCTCAGTGGCGATGTCTATACATCGCACCAGGTACTCATTTGAGGCTGAGTCGACCTAGGGGAAGCCCAGGACCGGTCCAGATAACCGTCACTTGTGGTGGCCGTGAGCGGGAATCGAACTCGAGTCGCTGGGTTTGTAGCGCAGCGCGCTGACCGTTGCGCCACCGCTCCGTCCACACACGGGCACGCATGCACACACACGTGTGATGAACTCACACTCACACACGTGTGATGAACTCATACACTCACACACGTGTGGTGAACTCACACTCACACTCACACACATGTGATTAACTCAATCTCACACACGTGTGATTACACTCACACACGTGTGATGAACTCACACTCACACACGTGTGATGAACTCACACACGTGTGATCACACTCACACACGTGTGATGAACTCACACACGTGTGATCACACTCACACTCACACACGTGTGATGAACTCACACTCACACACGTGTGATCAACTGACACTCACACACGTGTGATCACACTCACACACACGTGTGATCACACTCACACACGTGTGATGAACTCAGTCACACACACGTGTGATCACACTCACACACGTGTGGTGAACTCACACTCACACTCACACACATGTGATTAGCTCAAACTCACACACGTGTGATCACACTCACACACGTGTGATCACACTCACACACGTGTGATGAACTCACACTCACACACGTGTGATCACACTCACACACGTGTGATCACACTCACACTCACACACGTGTGATCAACCCACACTCACACACGTGTGATCACACTCACACACGTGTGATGAACTCACACACGTGTGACTAACTCACACTCACACACGTGTGATGAACTCACACTCACACACGTGTGATCACACTCACACACGTGTGACTAACTCACACTCACACACGTGTGATCAACTCAATAACAACCGACGTTCACCACTAAGTGGCGATGACATCACCACGGCGTTTGTGCCAGGCTAGGTGCACGTTGAGGCCTCGCGAAGTATCAAAGGCCCGCTGGCAGGAGGTCACGGACCAGACCCAGCAGGTGCCACGGGTCGACTGACTGAGACGACTGGCAGACGCACCACCTGTGCTTCCCACTGTGCCAACTTGCTGTGCTTTAGCCGCCCGGCGCTCCGCTCGTTGTTGTGAGCGTCGCTCCTCCGCCCTCCGTTGTTGTTGGAGTGCGACCGCCTCCAACTGCCCAGCAGCGTCCTTCACGAACCTACCCCACATAGGCCGATCTTGACACCGCTAGTAACAGTCATCGGCAACTCCAATCGGTTCCACATCCTTCTATACCACATCACTCCATCTCTTCTCTAGCCCCCTCGATCCGACCGAACAGAAGCTGCTTGGGCGGTGGCTGGGCATGCGGGCTCCATGCCAATGCAGCCTCGCTTGCCAGAGTGGCTCACTGATGGGGTAGTGCCCAGATCTTTCAAGGACCTGTGGACTGCTGACACAGTCCAGTCTGGTTAAACCCATGATGAGTCGTATGGAAATGTTTCCACTCTCTTCACAATTGCCCCGTCACTCATGGGGAGTTGAGGAAGGGGAGCATTTGATGAATTAGAATACCCAGGCAGGTGGGGCTGATAGTAAGGCCCCATCTCTTAGTAGCATGCTCCGGATTGATCAGTATAATCTCCAATATCTCAGAGTAGGCAGAAATCACCAGATCATCCGCAAACAAAATATGGTTGACCAATAGGGAGCCATCTCTCGACCGCACACGGGCATCGATCAGCCTCCCATTTAATCTACACCAGATGGAATTTCACCGGTTCGTCCATGGAGAACTTATTGAACTCCATGGCCAAAAGACGAGGTTGACTGGGGTAGGCGCCAGAAGACATTCCTGTCGCACCCAAAGGCGAACACACGATGGCCCCCACGACACCCAGCCACGCAGCCTTACCTGCACCTGCCCACCGTCTTGGAGGCCCTTCATGATTGCGAACAGATTGTCTCGGACTCAAAAAGCACAAAGAATAAACCAGAGCCCTGGCCTATTGATGGTATCATGGGCCTTGACCAGGTAAATAAAGTAGAGATTGTAGGTCTTGTTGAAATTCTCAACACCTATACTGTAGCATACAGACACAGAAAATGGCGTCCGTGCAGGACCACTCCGGACTGAAACCATATTGGAGCTCCGTAAGTTTCTCCTCAGCTTGCCTAGCAAGGGCAATGTTGAATCATTCTTTCCAGGACCTTTTCCGGCACACTGAGGTGCGTGATACCTCGGTAGTTGCAATCAGTACGGACCACCAGGGCATCCTTATAATCTTGCAGAACCAGTCCTGTGGACCAGACGGTTGTAATTACGTCAAATCGGGCAGTCTGCACACAAACGCCACCCTCCCTCAGCAGTTCACTTTGGAGGTCATCTCTCCCCGTTCGTTTGACCTGGTTTCAAGCTCCGGATTGCCCTTCATACTTCCTCAACAGATGGCTCCTCGGCGAAACAGTCACAAGGAGTGGCTACTTCCTCCAATATTTGAGGCACGGCAGCATCGGCAGAGGTCCACCCCCACGTTGCCCTATGATGCTGTTTGAGCTGAGGGGTTCCCCTAAGACCTCACAGAAATGCTCAGCAAACATGCGAACCTTTTCTTGGGGGGGGGGGGGGGTCGGAGATCGGATCACCGTTCTCTCCCTGTAGGATGGTGATAGGTGTGGCGTTGCAAGTACATTTTTGATGATGGTAAAAAAAAAGTCAACTTGTTATCGCTTGCTACTTGGAGCAGTTTCCATTTCCTCAGCAACTCGCGACCACCACTCATCCTCGCAGCGCCGCACGGCTCTCCAAACCTCCAAGCGAAGGCTGCGGTAAGTCTCCTCGCTGCTCAACGTGGGATGTAGTAGGCAGGGGGAGTAGTGAGCATTCCGCTTACTCTCAACTTGTCAGAACACCTCCTAACGTTAGCCAGGGTTTCTGGGGAGGTCTGCACTGCGTACGCAATGCAGCCATAGCAGCTGCGTGACCCGCTGTCTTGCAACTCATTTGCCCTCGGCATCAGGAGGAAGGGGGGAGACAATGCCAACCCCAGTTGTAAGCGTTGATGAAATTCCTATCTATCACCTTCATCAGCTCGACGAGACCAGGCCATTGTGGCCTTGACTTGGGTCCTTGATGGGTGATTGCTGCCGCAATAAAAGCACAGTCGAGGCATCTTGCTGATGACAAACCGATGGTCAGTAGGGAGATCAGCACCGCGGGAGGTCTTGGTATCAAGGCAGTGGGCCCGCATTCGCTGTTCCCTCACTGTGTAGTCCAGCAGATGTCCTCGCCTGGACCCGGCGTGCATCCATGGTGTTGTGTGAATGCTTCAATGCCGGCACCGCGTGTTGGTGATGACAAGCACGTAAGTGTAGCAGCCTCCTGCCGTTGTGATCGAGCTGATCTGTTCCATGCCTTCCATTCACTCCGGGCCAGGTATCTGCATCTTGACCCACTTGGGCGTTAACGTCACCCAAGAGGATGACTCTATCCCGAGGGGTCACTTTAGCCAGCACCTGGGACAGATCGTAGAAGGCATCTGACACTTCTGCCTTGCCTGCATCCCTCCACTGATGTTCATCTTCTGTGGAGGGCGTAAGCCTACAACCACCACCATCCCTCTCCTCCCTTTG